GAGAGAGAGAGAGAGAGAGAGAGAGAGAGAGAGAAGGAGCCTAAACCAGGGACGGCCTAACAGCTGGCGTTTATTGAGCGTTTACTGTGTGCCAGGCATCAACGCTGCGAGAGACACGTGGTGGTCCCTATTTTATAGATGAAGAAGCTGAGGTTCAGGGAGGGGCAGACCTGCCCAAGGTCCCACAGTGAATGAGGGGAAAGCTGGACTCAGGAAATGGATGAGCAGAAGATGCAAATGATGTTCTCTGTCTCTATGAGGACTGGTTACAGGACTGTGCATGTATCTGTCATAGGACTGTAGGACTGGAATCTAAAAGGGGAGAATTTTACTCTATGTAAAGCATCTTGCCATAGCCTTGACTTTAAAAAGGTAAGATATTATAAAATACATGCTATGAAACAAAAGCGGGTGAGATCCCTTGGGTGCTTGTGGGCTCTCTGTGTCCTTTCCTGTAGCAAGGCTGTCTCCTTAATTTACCTCTGTATCCTCGGGCTTGGGCCTGATACTGGGGAAAGGTAGATACTGAGGAAATGTTTGCTTGCTTAAGTGAACGAGTGAGCTAAATAATTCTCTCTGGATCTATTTCTCCAGCTATAAAATGAGAAATTGATGAGACACTAAGGCAAACTTCTCCCAATTAGCTCAGAAGCCACCTCCTCCAGGAAGCCCCCCCCCCATTCCTTCCCACTTCCAGATTGGATCAGGAGTGTCTTCGGGGCTCTCAGAGCCAAACTGTATTCCCATCCCTGCTCTGATCACACTGTATAGTATTTGTCTGGCTCTGCACGTCCTTCACGTGAATATTCAAGTTCTCCACAGCAGGACCTGTGTCTGCTTTGCTCATCTCTGTACTACCAGTGCCTGGTACATAGCAGGGGGAATATCTGGTGAATAATGAATTAATGCATTTATTAGTTCTGGTCTGGGGTTCAAAACTGAATCATGCTGGTGTTGGCTGGAGCTAGGTGAGGGTCCAAAGCAACAGAAAGGGGCCAGGGGACAGAACCAGGAAATCCCTATGCAGCAGAGATGAGTTGAAAGGCCTGACTTCTAGAGCATGAAGAAAACAATCCTGCTGTGACCTCCGCAGGAAACCCAAGCGCCCTCCTGCAAGGGGCAGGAGGGCCCGGAGGAGAACAGCCAGACTCTTGAGGGCAGATGGTTTGGGGGGCGGAGCGGCAGGACTGGGAGCTGGCAATCTGCCTGCATCTGTTTGAGGCTGGGGGTGGGGTGAGACACGTCCAGCACATGGATGTGGTCAGGTCCCCAGCTCTTCTACTTCTTGGCTGTCATTTAACCTCACTAAGCCTCAGTCTCCACATCTGTGAAGTGGGTAGGGAGTATAATTATACCTACTTCAACACATTTATTAGGAGGGCAAAAGGACATGCGAGGTCAAAGTGCCTACTATTGTGTAGCTGCTCAGAAAAAGTGTAACCCACCTAACATCTCTTCCCTCTTCTCCCAAATGTTTTCACCCTAATTAGAGCTGTCACTCTTGAGTTTCTAATAATAACATTAACTATTCCTAATGTTTACTGGGTACCTGCTATGTGTCAGGCACTGTCCTGTGTACTTTACATGTATTTTTATTTTTTTCTGTTTTACCCTCACCTGAGACATTTTTTTGTTTTGTTTTAATCCTCACCCGAGGACATTTTTCCATTTTACCATTTTTTGTTCAGATAGAGTGGGAGGGGGAGAGAGAGAGAGAGAGAGAGAGAAACATCGACGTGAAAGGGACACATCGAGTGGTTGCCACCGGCATGACCCAACCAGGGCCGGGGACAAACTGCAACCGAAGTACGTGCCCTTAGTGGGACCCGAACCTGGGGCTCACTGGTCCGCAGGTCGATGCTCTAACCGCTGAACCAAACAGGCCCGGGTATACTTTACATGTATTATCTCACTTAATCTTCACAATAACCTTGTAATGTAGGTTTGTTATTATTCCTATTTTCCAGAGAGAAAACAGGTTCAGAGAGATGCAGTGCCGAATTTGAGATCACACAGCCTCTAAGTGGTAAACCTAGGATGTGAAGCATTTGTGGACTTGAGGAAGCACCATAATCCCCTGGAGGGCTTGTTCAAAGGCAGACTGCTGGGCCCTACCCCTAAATTTCTGGTGCAGCAAGTCTGGGGTAGAGCCCCAAATTTTGTATTTCTTCCTTTTTAAAATTTTTTTCTTTAATGATTTTAGAGAGAGGAAGGGAGAGGGAGAGAGAGGTAGAAACATCGATGAGAGAGAGCATCGATTAGCCGTGTTCTGCATGTCCCCCACTGGGGATTTGGCCCACAACCAGGACACGTACCCTAACCGGGATTCGAACTAGTGACCTCTTAGTGCTTGGGTTGACACTCAACCACTGAGCCACACCAGCTGGGCGAGAATTTGCATTTCTAACAAGTTCCCAGGTGACGTTGCTGCTGCTGGTCCTGAAGCACACTTTGAGAACCAGAGCCTAACACTCAAATTTCTCCACTGTCATCATTCCAATTAGGCATGTTATATCACGTCCAGCCTATTACAATAGGCTCAATTCAAAGAATTCGAAGTCTAGTATAGTTCATTTAGCACTTGGCACATATACTTTCGGCCATTTTAAAGGTACAAAAAAATAACTAGAATCTATAAATGAGCAGAAAGAAAGACAGAATTAGCCCTGGCCAGTTTGGATCAGCGGTTAGAGCATCGGCCTGTGGTCCAGAGAGACCCGGGTTCGGTTCCCGCTAAGGGCATGTACCTCGGTTGCAGTTTGTCCCCGGCCCTGGTTGGGTCATGTGGGTGGTAACCACTCGATGTGTCCCTTTCAAGTCGATGTTTCTCTCTCTCTCTCTCTCTCTCTCTCTCTCTCCCTCCCACTCTATCTATACAAAAAATGGAAAAATGTCCTCGGGCGAGGATAAAAAAAAAAAGAAAGAAAGAAAGACAGAATTAGCTCTGGCCTCACCAGTTACTCAGAGAGATGGCTTTTTGTTAGACATGATTGTATAGTAGAAACTTTCTGGATTAAGTTTCATGGATTAAGTTTCTTCTTAACTCACTGAATTAAGAAGTCACTGGTGCCCTGGCTGGTTTGGCCCAGTGGTTAGAGTGTCGGTCCTCGGACCAAAGAGTCATGGGTTCAATTCCGGTCAAGGGCACGGTTCAGCACCTGGCCCTGGTCGGGGTCATGTGGGATGCAACTAGTCAATGTGTCTCTCTCATGTCGATGATTCTCTCTCCCTCCCACTCTGTCTGAAAATAAAAAATGAAAAATTATCCTTGGTTGAGGATTTAAAAGAAGTCATTAGATTAACCAATATTCACTTTGCCTACTGCAAAAACCCAGAAAGATGTGGTGCCCACAGCAGCTAGTAGACTTATCTTTATAGTATGGTCATTCACTAACTCCTGCTGACTTAATGATATGACTGTGTGTTTCCCAAGAGTCAGCTGGGTTGGTTCTCCAAGAGTCAGCTGGGTTGTTTTTTTTGTTCTATATTTTTTTATCCTCACCCGAGGACATCCCTGCATTTATTTCCAGAGAGAGCTGGAGAGAAGTGGGGAAGAGAGAGAAAGACACATCAATGTGAGAGAGACACATTAAGTGGTTGCCACCCACACGACCCCAACCAGGGCCGGGGACAAACTGCAACCAAGGCACGTGCCCTTAGCAGGAACCGAACCCGGGACTCTCTTGGTCCGCAGGCCGACGCTCTAACCGCTGAGCCAAACTGGCCAGGACTATTTTGTTTTTCTTTATTGATTTTAGAGAGAGAGGAAGGGAGAGGGAGAGAGAGACAGAAATATTGATGAGAGAGAACATCAATTGGCCGCCTCCTGCATGGCCCCCACTGGGGATCGGGCCCACAAGCTGGGCATGTGCCCTGACCGGGAATCGAACCGGCAACCTCTTGGTGCACGGGTCAACGCTCAACCACTGAGCCACACTGGCCAGGCAATTACTCTTGTTTTTAAATCACACAATTGTATATGACAAACTGATGACATAGAAGTGGAAAAGGAAACCCATGTTTCTATAAACACAGTTGAATGCTTTGGAAAGACTCTTAAAAAGCGAGGTGGGCCCTGGCCGGTTTGTCTCAGTGGTTAGAGCATTGGCCTGTGGTCCAGAGAGACCTGGGTTTGGTTCCTGCTAGGGGCACATACCTGGGTTGCAGTTTGTCCCCGGCCCTGGTTGGGTCGTGCGGGTGGCAGCCACTCCATGTGTCCCTTTCATGTCAATGTTTCTCTCTCTCTCCCCCCTCCCACCCTATCTGAACAAAAAATGGAAAAATGTCCTCGGGTGAGGAATAAAAAAAATTTTTAAAAATCGAGGTGTTTACATGTCATCATAAATTTGTCCAAACCCATAGAATGGACAACACCAAGAGTGAACCTTCATGTGAGCTGTGGACTGGGTGATAATGATGTGACTGTGTGATTGGTTCATTGTAACAAATGTACGACTATGGTGGGGGGTGTTGAGAATGGGGGAGTCATGCATGGGTGAGGGTGTCAGGCATATGAGAAATCTCCGTACCTCTTGTTAATGTTGCTGTGGATCTAAAACTGCTCTGAAAAGTAAAATTGATTAAAAAGAGAGAGTGAGAGAGAGAGAGAGAGAGAGAGAGAGTGAGCGAGAGAGCGTGAGCGAGAGGAGAAATGTGGATACAGCAAAGCCCCATGATGGCCGTATCCTATGACCCAAGGAGTAAACCGTTGTCATAAGCCACTGTGGGTAGGAGGAGTTAGTGGCCCGGACAACTAAATATTATTGGGTAGGAATGAAGGTGAAATTCTAATAATCTGAACAACTAGGGCCATCAGATCTACATCAACTTTTAAGACGCCCAAACTAGAACTCAGGGGAGAGGTTCATGCAAGAAACACGTGGGGGAACGCCAACCAGCTGACTCAGAGCAGGCTCAAAGAAAAGGCTTTGGCCCTACATCAAAAGATTGGTGAATTAATATAGAGCAATAGGTTTTTAAGTTAAAAAAAGACAATTTAGATCCTTTTGTAGTTCATAAGGGTGACGATTGGGTGTTCACACTCTTATGTGAGATGTGCCTCCTTCAAACCTTGTTAGAATGTTGGCACATTACCCATCTGACATTAAAAAAAAAAAATATCTAAGCCCTGGCCGGTTTGGCTCAGTGGTTGGAGCATCGGCCTGCAGACCAGAGAGTCCCGAGTTTGGTTCCCACTAGGGACACGTACAAAAAAAAAAAAAAAAGTATATTTAAAGGTTTATTTTTTTTTAACTCATTTCCTGCTACAATGGACTTTTTCAATAAACTTACCAACTACTCATCTAATCAGATTGGATAAGAAAGCCCCTACTATAGATTTCTTTTTTAATTGAAAACAGGAAGGGGATGGTGCCATTCTTAATTATTTATTGATTTCTACTTCATCTCTCTCTCCAGCCAATTATATCTACTATTAGCACAGCACTTTTCAGTTTATAAAGCACTTTGGAGTCTATTTATTTCCTTTCATTCTCACAAAAACTGTGGGCAGCAGGCATTATTACCCTCATCCTCCAGGTTGGGAAACTGAGGCTCAGAGAAGGGAAATAAAGGCTTCAAGTAAAGCTACCCGGAAGGCATTTAGCTGGGGCAAGAACCTTGATTGACTTGATGAGGTGCGTAACTACCCCCAGGGCACTGCACTAGCAAAGGAAAGGGAGTAAAAGCACAAGCCCTGACTAGTTGAGGAGGAGGTGCCTTGGGGCAGGAGTTAGGAGTGGATGTGACTGTGTCTGGTTCACTGGATCCTGGTGCACAGTAGGCCCCCAGGAAATGGTTGGTGCTTGGTTGAGGAAATGAGAAATGAATGAACACATAAAAGAATGAAGTGAGAAACGTGGAGACAGGCCCCTTCTCTCTCTGGACTCAGTTTCCCCATCTTTGAGTAGTTGAAGGCTAACATTCTCCTCCTTAAAAAAATAGACCGACATACATAATTTTTAACATATGTTTTTAGTGATTTTTTTTTTTTTTAGAGAGAGAGGAAGGGAGAGAGAGATAGAAACATCCATGTGAGCTCTGACCGGTTTGGCTCAGCGCTTAGAGTGTCGGCTGCTGGACCAATGAGTCACTGGTTCGATTCAGGTCAAGGGCATGTACTTTGGTTGCGGTTCGTCCCCGGCCCTGAGGCAACCAGTCGATGTGTCTCTCTCACATTGATGTTTTTCTCTCTGTCCCTTCCTCCCTCTCCCTCCCACTCTATCTGAACAAAACAAAAAGAAAGAAAGAAAAAAACATCGATGTGAGAAATATTAATCGGCTGCCTCCTACATTCCCCTTCTGGGGATTGAGCCCACAACCCAATCAAACCCAACCTCTCAATCCATGGGACAACACTCAATCCACTGAGCCACACTGGCCAGGCATATACTCTTATATTCTATTTCCAGATATCCGCAGACTATCCTTTTGGTTTTTTTTCATGTTTTTTTTATTCTTTATTAATTTTTAAAGAGAGAGGAAGGGAGAGGGAGAGAGATAGAAACATCGATGAGAGAGAACATCGATTGGCCGCCTCCTGCATGCTCCCCACTGGGGATTTGGCCCACAACCTGGGCATGTGCCCTGATTGTGACTCATCAGTGACCTCTTGGTGCATGGGTCGATGCTCAATCCACTGAGCCACACCAGCCGAGCATTAGACCATCCTTTCTGAACGCCCACTGTAGATCCCTTAGCAGAAGGTGATCCCTGAAATCCTGAGTGGGGATCCCTAAATTCAAGGATCTGAGATCTCTTCCAGCTCTGATGTTAATAGTTGTAATGCTAACACCAACCACAACAGTAATAGGATCCAGAAGTTTTTGGATGCTGACTCTGGACTAGGCACTACGTTAAGAGCTTTACCTCATTGTCACAGCCCTATGATGCAGCCAATATTACTAGCATCTCTGTTTTGCAGATGAAGACATTGAGGTTTGGAGAAACTAAACTTGCTCAGGTCACACAGCCAGAAAGTAGGGTCCTTGGTTTCCAACTGAGCCCGGTGGACACCAGAACTCCCACACTCTCCCTCCTCCGTCCCAGGGAAGTATAATCATATGACCTCCATGTGGCTCTTTCAAGGCCAAACTCAAGTTGCTGTATTTGGAGAACGTATTATAATGTTGGCAACCATTCATTCATTCAAACATTCATTGAACAATCATGTTTGAACACCTTCGATGTGCCAGGCATGGGCTGGCTGGCAGGGACTCACGATGACCATGGTCCCTGCTTTCAGGCAGCCTCATTTATGACATTGTTGCTCTGATGCCCCCTACAGCAGAAGGCACTCCGCGGGGGCACCAGAGTCATGGTGTGAGCTGTTACAATACAGATGCTCAGGCCCTACTCCAGACCCAGAATCAGACTCTCTGAGGTTGGAGCCTGGGAATCTGCCTGTTACCAGCTCCTCAGGTGATTTATAGACACTGGAGGTGTTCCCCGAGGTGTAAGGGAGCCCCTGGATGGAGGGTAAGGTGGCGTAGACAAGCAAACAAGCAATTATTCCATGGAGAAAAAGTGTTCCATACAGGTTATGGGGCTTGCCAGGGAAGGCTTCTTGGAAGAGGTGACCTTTAAGATGAGGGGTGAGTAGGAGTGAACAGGCCAAGAAGGAGGGGAAGAGACACAGTCAGGATGAAGCCAGTCTCTGCCCTTAAGGAGTTCACTGTGTGTGTGGGGGGGGGGGAGAGCAGAGGGGTGGGAGGAAGGGGGAGCAGCAAAGCAGAATGATGTGCCCAGGGGCTTTGGGAATAGGAGAGGCTCCTGACGCAGGCTGAAGAATCAGGGGTGACTGCGAGTTTTCCAGTGCTTTCTGAGATACCAGCTTCGGCTTCATCCCAGGTTGGATGAAGAGAATGGGTATGGAAGGGAACCAGGGCTGGCGAGGAGGAGGTGTGGTCTCCCAGGACGTTAGAAGCCTCTTATCAGCCGACTAATGGTGGGCGGAAGCCCAATCCTCCCTCCTCTAATCTGGTTGCTGTTTTCACCTCCATTGTCAATGCTAAGCCTTTGTTTGTTTGAACTAAGTCCTTCTATCTAGAGTCCTTAGTGCCAGCAGTAAATGGTGACATTTGAATAAGTGGAGAATTCCTTTGTAATGGGACCCGGAGAACACCTGCTTCCTTAGATCCACCCTTTCACTGAGGGATCTCAGGGGCTCTTCCTTCTGGGAATAACCCTCAGGCCACCACTAGTGACTCCTCCTAGTAGGACTCTGGCCCTGGCTAGCCTGCATTCAAATAACCTCCCAGCCACTCTCTGTGGCCTTCCAGTGCCTCGATTTCCTCCTCTGACAAAAGAGGCTAATAATAGTACCTACTTTACCCAAAGTGCTGTTTTGAGAATGGAATCAATTTTCCTATGAAATGTTTAGAAGAGCCCTGGCTGGTTTGGCTCAGTGGTTGGAATGTCGGCCCGCGGACCAGAGAGTTCTGGGTTCGGTTCCCACTAGGGGCACATACTTCGGTTGCAGTTTGTCCCCGGCCCCTGTTGGGTTCGTGTGGGTGGCAACAAGTTGATGTGTCTCTCTCACATAGATGTTTCTCTCTCTCTCTCTTCCTCCCTCTCTCCCTCCCACTCTATCTGAAGATAAATGCAAAAGTGTCCTTGGGTGAGGATAAAAAGAAAAAGTAGGACTACAGAAAATGTTGGGTATGACCACCTGACTCACCTCCACAGGCTGGCCAGCCCCAGCGTGGGCTGGTTAGTATCTCTTCCACCCTCAAGCACCACTAGGAGCCTTTGGAACCCAGAGGTCCTTTTTTTTTTTTTCCCTTTATTGAATTTAGAGACAGAGGGAGAAGAAGAGAGAGATAGAAACATCGATGAGAGAGAACATTGATTGGCCGCCTCCTGCATGCTCCCCACTGGGGATTTGGCCCACAACCTGGGCATGTGCCCTGATCGGGAATCAAACTGGCGACCTCTTGGTGCATCGGTTGACACTCAACCACTGAGCCACACTGGCGGGGCAGCCCAGAGGTCTTTGAGGAGCCCCTCTGTATCCCCCTGGTTCCAGCTTTTGCCTGAGCCTCTCCCTGAAATCACTCAGCATCTTTTAACCACCGGGGAGCTCTCTCCTGTGCATTGGATCAAATGGAAACAATAAAACTTTTTGCAGAAAAAAAAAAAGTTGGGTATTATTCCGACCCCAGGAAGAGTGCAAAGTGTTGAAGATACAACAAAACCGAAGTTAAATGTTCTCATGGAATTGATACTTTAATGAGAGAGATGAATAACAAAGTGAATTAAAGAGAAATAACAACATGGATTATGATTTGTGCTATTAAAAAATATGAGAGCTGCTATAAAGGAAAAAGGGTTCCTTTAGAGATCGTGACCAAGGAAAGCCTCGTTGAGGAGGCTGACATTTAAGGGCAGGAGGGGGATGGGGGAGTGGAGAGGGTTCCAGACAGAGGGCACAGCAGTTACAAAGACCCTGGGGTGTTCCTCAATACATTAAAAATAAAACTAAAAAAAAAAAAAGACCCTGGGGTGGGAATGAGGTTGGTTTGCTCAAGGATCTGGAGTGTGATCCTATCCTTACTGTCACCATTTTATTTTATTTATTTTTAAAAATATGTTTTTATTGATTTTATAGAGCAAGAGGAAGGGAGCGCCCAGTGGCTGTGGCTCAGTGGTTGAGCATCGACCCATGCACCAAGAGGTCGCCGGTTCAATTCCTGGTCAGGGCACATGCCCAGGTTGTGGGCCTGATTCCCAGTGGGGGGCATGCAGGAGGTGGCCAGTTGATGTTCTCTCTCATTGATGTTTCTGTCTCTCTCTCCCTCTCCCTTCCTCTCTTTCTAAAATCAATTTTAAAATATTTTTTAAAAAAGAGAGATGCCCTGGCCAGTCTGGCTCAGCGGTTGGAGTGTCGGCCTGTGGACCAGAGAGTCCTGGGTTCGGTTCCCACTAGGGGCATGTACCAAAGGAAAAAAAAAAGAGAGAGAGAGAGAAAGGGAGAGAGAGATAGAAACAGCTATGTGAGAGAGATTGGCTGCCTCCTGCATGGCCCTCTACTTGGGATGAAACCTGAAACCCAGGCATGTGCCCCAACTGGTAATCAAACCTAGACCTCTCAGTCCATGGGATGAC